ATCGCAAAGATTTGAGGGGCACTGCCACTGCGCTCGTCACCCTGAATCATAAGTTGACAAGTTCCATGTGCCTGTAATTCCATCAGCAACCCTACTCTCCAATACCGGAACGTAGTAATATTATTAGTGCTTGGCGGCAGAAATAGGTCCGGTCTTGCGTTGAGTATTGTTCGCACTTGTGGGACGGCTCCGCCAAGTACCTACTCGATGCCTTGGATAAATTACAGCGTCGTGCTACTCGAATTATAGGCGACGAAGAGGTCTCATCACGCCTTGAACCTCTGCAACTGCGTAGAGATGTTGCATCGCTTAGCGCCTTTTACCGCATGTACCATGGTGAGTGCTCTGAAGAGCTGTTCAACCTCATCCCCCCTTCCCCGTTCCTGCTCAGAAGCACGCGTGCTGGCCTTCTTAGTCACCGTTTCACTACCTGCCGAATTCCATCGCGTACTAAAAGGTTCGGTGGCTCCTTTCTCTGCCGCACGGTTTACAAATGGAACTGCCTTCCGGCACATGTCTTCCCTCCCTCTTATGATATGGGGTCCTTCAAACGAGGCGTGAAGAGGCATACTGTAGGCAGGCAGGGTGGAGGTGGCTAGTGCAGTGAGGATTTCATCGCTGCACTAGGTTCCTTCGAGTTTGGATACCACTTTCCACTTAACATCAGGTGGAGTGGAGTCATTTGCCTGTCATGTATAAAAAAAAAAGGTAAGGTGGCAGTACTTCCCTGGACGAACTCACACAAGGAGCTCCACTGCTACTAAATGTATTTGTAATCAATATCACACATCAAAAGTGTCGGTTTCAAGGGTATTTTTTTATATATGATTTTGTTTTTTAAATTTGTTAAATTATTTATTTACTTTTTTATGTTTTAAATAATAAAATTGCCAAAAAAAACCATTAGCGTTAAAAAAATCAATAATGTAAACATTTACTTATTCCAGTTAAAATATTTTGAAACCAAACCAAACGAAACGAAATAATTATAATACTATATATAATAATTATATACTTTAATCTCCATTGTACGGGTAATATTAAAAAATTAAGTTATAGAAGCCATGCTCCTGCAAAACATGAGGATCACATTTACACACAAAACAAGTGGAAAGATGGCGTGTACAGTAAGGAACGGTAGCAGACCGGCAACAGTTAGCGTCGTGTATTTTGTGTTTGTTCATTGCATTAGCACTAGTTATGGGCGGTGGTGTGAGGCATTAAAGGTCACGGTGCTGAGGAGAATATTGGAAATTCCATAGAGTATAGGTCTGACACACTTTCAAATCACTAGCAGCATGGCTGGTTCCGCAGCGGAGTTGGTGAAAAGATAAAAAAAGCCAAATTACTTGAACCTCTGACTATTTATTCGCACCTTGAAAATGATATAAACAGCAAAAATATCTAAAAAATAACTGTTAAATAATTGGCGATTCGTAATTATAAAACTATCACAAATCCTTTGGCATTAGTGAATATGTGATAGAACCAATTTCCACAGCGTCCTTCGCAATTACAAAACCGCTCCCGCTGTCTCCTGTACCATAATCTACACGTCGCTCTCTGCACGCGTTTAGGCGCGCCCCGCACGACGAGCAAACACGGGGCGTAGCGCTAACTCATCCCTCACGACCACGACGCGGTGACGACACGACTAGCACCTCTATCACGAAATTTTAAATGCTCTATGGGAGTTTAAAAGCCTGAAAGCCTATGTCGAAATAGGTGCAATGTTTTACTTACTTATTGTAAAATGGATAGAAAACTTGAGAGTTATCACTCAGTTCCTTCAAAGAAATTTCATTCTTTGAATAAACAAATGTATGCTGTTTACTGTACGTGTAATAACAGTTTCATAAATTATTTATTTTTAATAAGGTTACCACATTACTTTACGAGTACGAATACGATACCACAGACCACGTACTTTTCTTTCTTCCGTACTTGATACCGTTAGACCCAGAAGGGGATGTAGAAGACCTCGACGATCTCGTTGCAGGAAATTGACATTGGTTGATACGGCACCGTGCCGGTGATCGTTATAGCTATCGTTGTTCGATTACAATTGCAGGCGGATAACATGTGGTTTTAATTGATTAGTGCAGAATAGAACCCCCGGCATACATGATGTGTTCTTGACGAGGGGTTTACAGCTGCTTTAGGCAGTAGTTAAAATTACAAAAGTTCTGATGAGTTCGCAACATAATTGTTTATTTGTGTGAAACCGGAGATAGACGAAACTGTAATTATTTGTGTTGTCGTGTAATGTAGTGACAAGAATAAACGGGCGTGTATGAAAAGACAGATGCGGGGTGAACGAAGACATAGAGGTCCCATTTGGAGACCAATGTGCTAGTATGTACGTACATTAAGTATATGAATAAATGACCAATAAAAACACACTTTCGTGTTATTCATTTGATTAAAAGTGGTTATTTTGTATGCGAATAGTTTTATCATGCAAGAATCAAACAAGCAAAATATCTTAAATGACAAAAACGCCTAAAGTGACTGGTTTCTCAAACATTAGCTGTTAAGAGTATTTTTTTATTTAACACCAAGACATATAGGAAGAACTTTTTTAATAAATTTTAGTTAAATAATTCTCATTATGCTACAAAGTTCAATTAATACTTAAATTTTAAATGTTAAATATTGGAAACTAGTCACTTTGAGCCATTTAGGTCGATATGTAACGTTTTTAACTGACTTCAAAAAAAGGAGGAAGATATACGTTCGGCTGTTTGTATGTTTTCCGATTTCTCCGTCAATTGTGGACCGATTTAGAAAATTCTTTTTTGTTTGAAAGGGTGCCACTCTCATGGTGGTCCCATTGTCACTAAGTCAAAATCTGATGAGGGGTTCCCATGAAAATTGAGGAAAATCCTCAAATTTTATAGGCATGTCAGTGTACTCATCGATTTCTCAGTTAATTGTGGACCGATTTTGAAAATTCTTTTTTTATTTGAAAGGGTGGTCCCTGATGCCGATGATACTTTTCCGGGTTTGTTTCGGCTATCATAAATTACTATTTATTTTCCGCAAATAAAATCGACTTTTCATTTGACACGATATACATGTAATCAACAAATCACCGTCACCTCATGGTGACCCAGAAGAGTTGTCATTAACCAAAAAAAGTATGAAATGCACAAAGGAGTCCGTAACAGCCTCATTGTCACCAAGAAGTCAGAATCTGATGAGGGGATCCCGTGAAAATCAAAAAAACCAATAAGCATTCGTTATACGCTCGGTTTTTTAGATGAAAAAGTTACAATTATTGTTAGCTGTAAATATTAGATTTATAATAATAATACAATAGTAATAAAATAATTTATTTCAGGCCATGGACCATAGATAATGGCGATTTACTTTTATAGAATTTTAAAATATCCTTACGTTTATTTGATATTTTACCAAACGAGAATAACGACGGGCAGAAGCTAGGCCAGGCTCTATTAGAAAATAATCCTGCTTCTTTTATAGGTTACCTTTACGTGAATTCAAGAAAACTATTTTTTTTTTGTGGTCAATTACTATAAGAAACACATCAAATGCAGGTTTTAGTCGCAAACATGCTACAAAAAAACTGAAATCGCTACACAAATGAAAACTCGAAAACTGGAAATGGAAAACAAAAGCGGAACAACTGACAGATAAATAATGGACGCTGCCGGTGACAGTTGCCAAATGAGTATCACCATCCTGCTCGCACACGCGCGTATTGACCTATTGCTGTCTCTATCGCACTTCACGTGCGGTAGAGTTGGGCGTGTTGGGCAAATATGGGACGGTTAAATGCAAACATCCGTTTAGTTTCAATAGGTATTGGATTTGGTGTTAATTGAGTTTTTTGCAACATCTTCATGTACCTGAGTTTCTATTTACTTAGAATAATATTGAATAAAAATGATGTCTTATGTCTTAGCACCAGTCATCGACGAGAGCTTTTCAAGGTTTGTACGTAATTGTATCCAACTGAAATTTATTTGAATCCTGATACGTTTATGTTTTAAACGTAAATGGCATTTAAAAAAAAACAGCAACGTAATATAATCAACATATTTTCATTGAAATTGCCCATATGGTTGAAAATGTTGACCCCTTCTATTCTACATCCCCAATAGAACGAGACGTCAGCAAGAAGTAAACATCAATAAATATCCATTGATCCTCGCATTATCTTTAAGGATCCATCGCGAACAGTAGGAATCAATAACCCGGTCGGTGAAAAATGACAGGCGATTGCCGATGATCTCCCAGATTTGTGCGGATTGCAACGATTTGCGGGACATGCGTGATTAATGATTTGGCATGCGATGGGCTCCATCCCTTTACGGCCGCCATGATATTGAAAGATGACGGAATTTTCATGCACATTTGTGAGATCGTACGTGTATGTTTTTGAAGAATAATTTGATTGATTAATTTTAAGATCGACGGACGATATTTCATTCAAACTTGTAGTTACCGGTAATTCAATTTGGTACAATATATTTATTTATTTATTTATTTATTTATTTATTTATTTATTTATTTAT